AATTAGTGAGTTTGATAGTTTTTCTATGTGGTGACCTTTAGCTCGATTTTGTGACCAGATGATCTACAGAGAGAGTTGTTTAAATCTTGGTCCTAAACAATATTATTGAAGATACAATTTAGAAAGAAAAAAAGTTATGGATAGCATTTCAAAACATGTGAAAAGCTTTTAATTCAGTAAACATACATGCACTAGAGCTTTCTATGAGAAGAATAAGCTTCCAGAAAATCTGATCACTTTCATTAAGTAATTATATCAAAACTGTAAAATAAGAGTAATAACAGATGAGAGCACAACAGACTTTTTTGTAGCTGGTGATAGAATTGACCAAGGGGAAGTGATCTCGCCACTAGTAATCCAAATCGTTAGTTGAAAAACCAACTAGTTGACAACTTTCTAACTAATCGATTTGGAAAATTTTGAAACAACTAATCGATTAAATTATTAACTAGTTAAATTCTGAGATATTTCGTCTATTCAGACTAGTTCATGTTGATTTATTTAGTTAGATTGGCCAATTAACAAATTTAGTTACATAATAGAAAAATCAATTAGTTACAACTATAGTTGGCAACTAATCGATTAGAAAAATTTTTACCAACTTAGAACACTACTCGCTACTAATATGAAAAATATTTTATAACCTATTACTAGTGAGGATACAACAGCTAGGAATAGGGTACCAAATGGAACTCTAGTAGCCAACAGAGGTCAAAAAGCGAGTCTACAAAACAGAGAAAACAATGATCTCAGCTCTAGTATATGCAAATGATACTACATGAGTAGCAGAATCTTAGCAGGCATTGCAAGAAATTATTTGAGTATCAAATAGCTTCTTCATATTGAATGATATTGAAATCAACGGAGCAAAGTCCGAAACAATAGCTTGAAGGCTACACAAGTGAGAGAAAGAAGTAGATTTCATAGAAATTAGAACACCACTAAGTCCAATCAAGGTCAAAGAATCAGAAGAAAGTACAAGGTTTCTAGGTATCTGGATAAGCCTAAAGAAGTAGGAGAAAACTAGTATACTATGATGTAAAAAAAAAGTAAGCAAGTTATCATGCGTACTAAGATATAAAAAACTCTAAGCAAGTTAGATAGTATATATAAACAATATAGTACTGCTTCCAAAACTCGAGTATATACTAGCAAATGTCTGCCTTAGAAAAAAATTCTGTGATATGATATATTAGCCTATGCTAAGACTCATGAAATAGAAAATAGAGCTATTATCTACATATGCAAATACAACTCTTCAGCACAAAAAGATCTTTGGAGTAGTAAGTCTATAGCAAAAACATATAGAGCATCATGTATCTGAGCTCTTTGTAAGAATGAATTCTAATAGTATCATAGGCATAACTACTCTAATAAGGTTAAAGCAGTCACAACTAGATATGAATATGTCAGAGTATATTCTCATAGCAGAAAATATGAATTAGAAAAAGACTAAGCACAGAAATCTAGAAGCCAAAATAATGCAGCACACAAAACGACTTGGCCTTAGCGTTACAAAAAATAAGTTTACTGTAGCTTAGGATTTCTTAAATCCACAAAGAGACAAAAACTATCTGATCAGTAATATACTCAACAAGTACAAATTAAAAAAGATACAAGAAGATATAAGTAAGCTAAACCTATAGCATGTAAACCAGCTTTTAGACAATAAACAAGAGAGAATAGTCATTTGGAGACAGCTAAAAGCAAGAGAAGAGAGAAAACATACAGGAAGAAAGGCCTAATGGTTTAAGTTATTAGAGAAAGAAATACTAGTAGATGAGAAGTTAAGAGAAGTGGTCGAAGAATACAGGAAAAAAAGAGGATTTCAAGTACAAGAAGTTAAGTCAAAGATTTTACAAGATAAAACGAAAAAAGAGTAGGTACTTATAAAAGGTAAAGAAAACAAGGAGAGTGAAATTAGTCATATTATCAGAAAAGAAAAGAAGCTTGTAGAAGAAAAGATTTGGGAAGAAGACTACAAAAATTCACGAGAAGCATTTGACCAGCAAGAAGCACTTACTTAGCAAGAAATTTATAAGGAAGGTTGCAATCTTAAAAAAAGTAGTCAAAAACAAAAAATAGCATTGAAAGATATGCATAATATCTCAAGCTTTATATGGAAAAAAGATAATAGACTACAAGTAGTATTCAATAGAAAGTATTTGGAAAAAATAGGAAAGGAAAATCAGAAAAATAAGGTAGAAGAGTTCAAAAAGTTCAAGAATTTAGAGCATATCAAGACAGAAGGAAGCTAGGAAGCAGAGCTAATTAACTAAGTGATTTAGAATACAAAGGATAGAAAAGAACTCAAAGATAGATTAGAAACAAATAGAAAGGAAGAGGAAATAGTATTTTATACAGATAGCTTACTCAGTAGAGAGAATACTTTGAATAGAATAAGGATGAGATATAGTATAGTTCAAATAGATAGTGCAAATAATATAGTCTTTAATTACAAAGAAAAGATAGAAAATTGTTTCTCATCTACTCGAGCAGAGCTAGTAGCTTGTCTAGTAGCAGTGTTATTAGTTTTTAGTAGGTGTAAAGTAGAAATAAGAACAGATAGCATATGTATGATTCTCGCAATTGAAAAATGCCTCAAAAATGAGCAGTTATGTGAGTGGTTAAAAACCAAAAACAACAATATTTTGCGTGCAATTAAGAAAGTCTATAAGAGTAAATCAGTTTAATTGATATTCACAAAAGTCAAAAGCCATTTAGGAGATATATATAATAATATAGCAGACAGACTCGCAAAAGAGAGGATACATGAAGCACAAAGTATAGAACTGAATAATATTAGTAACAAGAGTGTGAAGTATATTCCCGAATGGAAAGGCCTAAGCTTGGAGACTCCTTTAAGAGCTTTTATTAAAAAAATAGTCTAAATGATATACAAAGCAGAGTGAACATGGTTAAGAAAAAGAAATGATGAGGAACACTAAGCAAGGATCTAAAAACAAAACTAGAAAGTGTTTAAAGATATCTTTAAAGGCTACTGTATGCAATATCAGAATTCAGAAGTAAATTACTTGCGACTATTCAAAATCAAATGTATCGAAAATCTTCTCCCAACTATCAAAGTCTTAAACTATAGAAAACTATAGCTATATTAAAGTAGCTCATGCAAAAGATGTGGCAAGAAAAAAGAAACAATCAAACACATAATCACATGTAAAAAAACACATCTAGTATATAAAAAAATTGAGAAAGAAATATGAAAAAGGCTTGGTGAAGACAAAAAGAAGGAGAAAGATTGGGATTTGATAAGTATTCAACAAGCTTTACATTATAAACAGGAAGAAAAATGTCAAAAAAAGAAAGAATAGATGCGAGGCATATTCAGTGAAGATGATGTAAAAAAAATCAAGAATATTGTCAGTTCTGAAGGAATGATGACCAAATTTTGGAGCCTTTACTAGTACATTTAGATAGAACTCATATATGAAGAAATATAAAAAATCTGATGCAAAGACATAGAGGCAGTATTGTACATGGACACTGTTCACGAATATTACTTAGACACAGACATATTTGGACATTGTTCAATGTCCATGTCCATCACATGTCCAAAATATGGATTGTCACTGGACATTGTTCGCACAAAATATGATAGACACAGATGTCCAGCGGACAATGTTCGCCAGATATTATCCAACATCCAAGCATTTAATTGGATGAATACTTCAGTTTTGAAATGCTTATCTAATTAAATTCTTGGACGTTGGACAATGTCCGCTGGACATTGTCTAACATCCAAACAATTATTGGTCAGAGATATTTATATATTGTTAAAATACCAACATTTGTATTCCAAACATTATGCACAATACTTTATATTTACATATTATAGTACAAGATTATGAATATTAATATACTGCTTATTATAAGTATTAATCAAGTGCATATGTAATACGATATATTTAAAAAGAAAAATAGCTTTTTTTCCTCTTATTAATATCAATTAACATTGAAGTGGTTTATCAAGTATTTTACGAAGTATTTTAAGAAATATATAGCGATAATAATAAGAAATCGATAGTTTAAAAAGAAAAATGGCTTGTTTTCCCTTTATTAAATGTTATATTGTTCTCTTTCATATTTTCATAGAAAGAACGTTG